AAGTTACGCCAATTATTATTATTTTCTAACTAAGTAACTACCCTTATCCATGGTTTAAATTAAACTAAACTTAATCATAAGAGAAAGTAAAGAAATATAAGTACTCGAGTAAAATTTCTGGTATTAATTAAATATCGTAATTATATAACATTTTCCTGCAAATGAAGCTTCAAATTAAAACTGATCTACCCAAGATACAAAATTTAAATTAATTCTTCCCCACAACAAAATAATATTGCGTTATGAATTTGAACATTTTACTTTGAAAGCTTCTCTTATTAATTGTGATAAAAATTCAAATAAGGAAAGAGTTCTCTACCCTCTAAACTCGCTCGGAGAATTATTTATTGAACCACCGAAAATAACAGAAACCTGCATTTATCTAGCTAGAATTTACACCTTATTGTTGCGCAACAACCATAGCGAAACGAAATTACTTGATACGTGTAGGATCCGTTATCCGATAAGCCGATATATTTACTGTGTAAAAGGAAAGCATTAAATGTCTATTACGCACGCACACTGTTATTAAAATAGAGATTTTATACGGTCGAGTTATTCTTGTGTTGTTTGCAAGAATTCAATTAAGTTGAAACGCCTTTTATTTGTTTCCCCAAACTGTTTAATTATGGTGCGTAGGGGTGAAATTCTTCAGGGTATTGAAAACTGTCATCACTTAAAGCACGTCTCAATTACATATCCCAATTCCACTCGGAACCAAATAAATCATCATATTTATAGATTCATCTGAATGCATCAATTTCTAAACATATATTTATGTAAGATTTAGGAATTGATAAACTAAAAACGAGGCATGTAACAACAAAACCTGACATTACAAATTATCGGCCTACCGAGATAAAACTTTTCGCAATAACCGTCTTTATTGTCAATGACTATACTGAACGCTTTTCGTGCTCAGAAACCAATATGGTGCAAGAGAGATGGATCAGGTTCGAATGGAGGGCGTAAAAGAGATGGAGGAAAGAAAGATGGTATTGCCCTTGTCGAACTTCGTACGCTGAACAAGGAAAGATTCTCCTCGTAGTAAACTAGGGGAAGTTCACCGTTATGTGAGTGAATACAGATCGTTCAGAATAACTTGGCCATACTCCCATAAATGGTTCAATTGATTATAGGACGATTTAGCTCTTAATTAGGACTCGACACGTTTATTAATTCGAGAAGCTCATCTCGCCACTAATCTACTTCTCTTTACCATTCATTTTTCGGATCAAAGATAATTTATCGCCAAAATATTCAGAAGCAGTCATGAATTCAATTGCGTTTATAACTTTCTATTGAACCGTACTAAAAAGGCAATCGCAATATAATTTGTATAGAAATCCATTGAGCTTCTCGAGTCGTAAACAAATTTTGCAGTCTGCAACTGCTAAAGAATTAGTTGAATTGAGCAAGTATGTCGACGCCACTGTTTATTACACTTCGATCATTTAATTCGTTTCGATATGCTAGTCTGGGAACTAATTACTAAATCGATCCTAATTAAAGCCCCGAAAAAGTAGCAAATAAAATAGTTCACGTCTTAAATTTAAAAGCTCAAGGCTCCCCTATAAAAATGGTAAACAACCGGCTTTGAGGAGAGGGTGCACTGTCGGCTGGGAATAAATTAAGCGCGCACATTTTCGTAGTAGGTAAAATTTGTTGTAGATATTTTCAATAAGTAGGTACCATACTTTTAACGATCTTTAATCAACCGCACCGTTCTACAATATTAGGATATCGACGGTAACGGGAATTTAACGGAGAGATATTACGTGTCAAGAACCTAAAACAATAAGATTCATTTTCATACGGTTTTTAAAGCGTCATTGAACGTTAAAAATGATATAATCGAGCACACACATTGGCGTCAATGGACAAGCATTAGGTAAGGAGAGGGTGTGTCGATCGATTGAAAAGCAAGAAAGCAAAAACCGCATTTAGAAGGGCAAAAGCCCCGGAAAATGTAAAATATGTTAGATCTGCGAACTGCATATGTAAAAATTTCATTTGAAACATTCGCAGCGCTTCAAATTCTCCCGGCGGTTGTGCTGTAAAAATTTTATTAAAAATCCACAATTACATTTTATAAATATCTGCACTTGTTGATTCATATAAAAAGGATGAATTAAATTAAATTCGGCTTTAAAGGTTTTCCAATTTTAATCATAGGCGTCGTTGCACCAAGAGAATCTTCTAATATCCGGGCGTCTCGCAGACTAGACACTTTATACCTCTTATAAGGGGGACTACTTGTAATAAATTATATTAATGTAGGTAAGAATCTACTCATTAATGCGAGGAGGAAAAACTAAGGCTATTTCGTAATTGTCGACGTTCATTTTTATTGATGTCACAGATTTATTTTTAGAGTTATCTACTTATACCGCTTGATATCCATGAAGACACTGCAGTGGAATGTTGATACGGTACTTTGTTTATTCGTGTACACCGCAAAAAACGAACCTTAGTGCATTCGATACAAAACTGGATTGCCATTGTGAACCTTCTCTATGGAACGCGATTTTACTTTTAAATACCGTTGCAATTTAAAAATTTGGAAGAATAATTTACGGTAATTAAATATGTCTATAATATAATCACTACTACAGAATACTATATAGATATTTTAAAGAGACATCCTAAGTGTAAGTTAATGTGAAATAAAATAGTTTAGAAATGTGTTAAATAATTATAAATCTCTCTCCTTATCACAATTAATAGCAAAATCTTGCAAAGTAAAAGAAAATATTCCATTTAATAGCATATTTTATTATGTACAAGAAGTAAATTAAATTTTCTACGTATTGTAGGTAGTTACGTTCTAAATTGAAGTTTGTAGCACAAGATAATTAATAATAACATAAATATTGTCCAAATCATGCTGTATAAACAATGTCATTAATTATTAGTCAATTTTTTTCCTAAATTATTTAATTATTCTGTTGGGTTCTTTACGTGTAAACACAAAGCGATTATTGCGTTTCTAGTTGTATCCTAGCAGTTTGTTTTGCCTTGTAAAAGAGTAATTCCTAGAATTGTTAAATGTAGGGCAATTTATAGTTTATTTTGTTATCAATTTTGTTTTGTTAAATCATGCAAATGACAGTTCTGTTTGAATTCCTAGGCAATTTCATTACTTTTAAAAGGTTGATGTTTAATAGCGATAAGAATGCGTTTTAATGGGCCATAGCTGTTGTAAAATTTGATACATGACGTTAAGGGGGGACCAGGAACGTAAGTTTAGTATTGTTCGAAAAGTAAGAATATAAGAAAGATTTATTTAAATTATTCTCCGCACTCTCAATAAAGAGAGTGCTGAAAAGTACACGTCAACATATTAATTACATTACCACGCTGTAAAACATTTATATTTTAATTAACTATTTAGTCATCCAAGCACAACGTTTGTTTATTACAGAAACTCGTTTTTGAGAAAAACACATCAAAGTGGCATTTCAATTTTCCAAAAAAATCGTCGAAAACTTCAGGCGCGAATAGAACGGTGGGTGAGAAGATACTGGAAAATTCGTTCACGCAATCTCCCCTTCAAAATATTGGCTCCACACAGCGCAGGAAATTACCCCCAGGGGGAAAATACTCCATCGTGAGGGGATTTATTGAATTGAACTTACCCGTATCGAATTTTCTTGGGTAGCGGAGAAAGGGCGAATATTTCGATACTAAATTTCCCCGAATTTGTGGAAGGCGATCCGCGGAGGCGAATTTTACAGGAGGAGTTTGGGGAATTTAGTACGTAAGGTGTAGCGGATTCAGAGGAAACATATATCGTTGCTTCACACGGACCGCATCTTAGGGTTTGCTGGCGAACCCACAAAGTGTGAACGCCCAAGCTACTGGTTACCCAACAATTAGTTCATTAAGGGCCAGTTGCACAAAGGCAGTTTAAACCTCGCTTGGAATTAACCAGTGGATTAAGGTAAGGTCTACGATTGGTCGATATTTGACGTCCTGTCAAATTTCAACTAATCATATGTCTTAATCCAATGGGTTAATCTAAACGAGGTTTAAACTGCTTTTGTGCAACGGGCCCTAAATAAGCCCCTGAAAGTTGCAAGGTTTTTTCTTTGTTGTACAAATAATACATTTTGATTAATAACTCCCATTCCTATTAACAAAGCAAAAAGAAGAGGTTAGAGGCATTACTAGGTGGTGAGATAGATAATTATTAATTTTTCAAGTTAAAAGTTAAATGTGTTTAAATAACGGATTTTTCCAAACTTTGATTTTATGGGTTTGGCTTTATGAAAAGATTGCAGCAGACATTTAACATCCAAACGTTCCACGTAATTTTTGTGCGAAGAAACTTAGGAATGGAAACAATCCGAAATCGATAAAAATATTCTGGGAGAACCGTGAACACAATTAATTGATCGACATACTGATTAAAGGGGTGATTATGCGGACTGTAGGCATTTTGAGAGCCCAAACAAAACAAATTCTGCCTATGACATAAGTTAAAATTACCTCTTAGTTCCAGGTTTAATTACAGAGCATATAAGAAACTACTACATTAAAAGAATTGGGTCCGGAATATTCCAGTTGGGGTGCAAAATCCCCAGATGTCGCAAAATTGATGTTTCTTTTTTTCTCAAGAATCTCGACATACAGAAAGATGGATCAACCGACTTTACTTTTGAATATGCTCCTTCGGATTTTGTTTGCTCTGCACCACAGGAACAGTGCAGAATATTGAATTACTCGTTAAGAACAAAATAATTTTATTAACTCAACTTAACCGCTATATAAATACATCTTGATCTTAGCAACGACTGCAATGGAATGCAATAGAAAGTTACAAAATCTGTCCCAAACCCGTGCTTTTGTTTAAGGTAACCGGTTTAATTACCTGACCATGGAATTTCTCCCTTTTCAAGGTGGTTGGTTGGTACTGACTGTTACAAACTAGTGTTTTATACTTAACTTACTTAACATACTCCCCCCGCTAAAAAGCGGAGCTTTTAAGATAAATATAACTACTCTATTGGTAATACGCACACTTTGGACACTGATCTTTTAACAACGCCGTTTTGTGTTTTTATAGTAACCACTCTCACAACACCGTCACCGCCTGGATGAGTTTCTATAATTCTCCCCATACGCCATTGAAGTGGAGGTAAGTTATCTTCTTTCAAGATCACCAATTGGTTGGTCTGAATGTTACTGCGTTTGATGTTCCATTTGGTACGATTTTGAAGCGTCGAAAGGTATTCTCGCGACCATCTTTTCCAAAAATCACGCCTGAGTTTTTGAATTAATTCATATCTGGATAACCGGTTCATCTTCATTTCTTCCATGTCAGGTTCTACTGGTGTTACCAAAGATTCTCCAATAATGAAGTGAGCTGGGGTTAAGGGTAAAAGGTCATCAGGGTTGGATGATAGAGGAGTAAGGGGTCTCGAATTGAGGCATGCCTCGATTTGGGTTAAGACAGTGTACATTTCTTCAAAGGTTAGTATAGAGTTACCAACGACTCTTTTCAAATGAAACTTTAATGATTTGATCCCAGCCTCCCAAAGTCCTCCAAAGTGAGGAGCTCTAGGAGGAATGAAATGCCAAGTGATATTATCCTTACTCAAGTTATCCTTAATATTGTCCAGAAAATCCTTAGACTGAACAAGTTTGACTATTTTGACAAGTTCGTGATTAGCGCCAACAAATGTTTTTGCATTATCTGAATATATATTAGAAATTTTGCCTCTGCGAGCCATGAGCCTTTTGAGGGCGTTTAAGAATGCCTTAGATGTTAAATCGGATACGAGCTCAACATGAATAGCCTTTGTCGAAAGGCAGATGAATAGTGCTATGTAAGTTTTCGTTACCGCTTTGCTGCGCCCAAAACAGTTTTTAATTTGGATTGGGCCAGCATAATCTATACCACAATTCACAAATGGTCTAGCTGATTCTATTCTGTGCTTTGGTAAATTTCCCATAAACTGATCCCTAATAACTGGTCTACATTTTGAACATATAACACATTTATGGATAATTATTCTAACTAGATTTCGACCATTAATGGGCCAATAACATTGACGCACGGCAGCTAGTGTGGCTTGAGGTCCCGCGTGCATGTGTTTTATATGCTCATATAAAATGATGAGCCTTGTAATATGATGATCATGAGGCAGAATAATTGGATGCTTTTGGGAATATGATATGTTTGCGTGGGTCAACCTACCGCCTACTCGTAATACGTGGTCACTGTCTAGAATGGGGTTTAACGTTTTAAGTTGTCCCTTGTAATCCGGAGATTTTTTTGCGTGTAGTGAATTAAGTTCATTTTGAAAGGTGCTAGCTTGCGTCATTTTGATAATCTGAATTTTAGCATTGTGTAATTCGTGTGAACTTAAATGCCCGCCTAACTTCGGATATTTTCGTGTGTTGTGTATAAATCTTATACAGTAAGCCATGACCCTTTGTAATTTTGAGAATGAGGAATATTTCACAAGTATTTCAGGAATGTCTCCTTGTGTTATGAAATTAACATGAGTTTGAGCCTTGCGTACCTCTGGGAGTTCAAGTTCCTCTCCCAATATGTTTTCTGCAGGCCATTGATTATCATTTCGTAAAAGCCAATAGGGCCCTGTAAACCACAATTTCGAATTTTTTAGATACATTGCCGAGCATCCCCGGGAAATAAGGTCTGCTGGATTATCGTGTGTCCGAACGTGACGCCATTGCTTGGTCTCGCAAGACGCAAGTATTTTAGATATCCTATTAGCTACGAAAATTTTCCATTTCTGCACGGGTGATGCCAACCACGCTAAGACTATTTTAGAATCGGTCCAGTAAAATATTTGATTTTGACTAATAGGTAATTTGATTGCTGTTACTACTTTCTTAACTAGTTCTGCTAATAATACCGCTCCACACAGCTCAAGTTTCGGAATCGTTATAAGTTTTAATGGAGCTACGCGCGATTTTCCACAAAGTAAGTGACAATAATAATTGCCGTGTGCATCTGTCGATCGAACATAAACGCATGCACCATAAGCCAATTGTGATGCATCACAAAAACCATGAATTTGTGTAGTGATTGGATTGCTAACCGGAACTACATTTCTAGGGATACTAAGAGTGTGCACATCATTTAAGCCTTGGAGAAATTGAGTCCATCGGGAATGCAATTCCATGGAAATAGATTCGTCCCAGTTGATCTTAGCTGCCCAAAGTTGTTGTAGAATGAGCTTTGCATTTGTTAAAATAGGGCCTATTAATCCTAAGGGGTCATAAATTTGAGCAATTTTGGACAAGATGGTCCGTTTTGTTACCTTTGACGCCGTATTGCTTACATCAAATGAATACCTTAAGCTATCGTGGTTAGAGTTCCAAACTAAACCTAATGTTTTAATGTCCCCATCCGGGCTTAGATTAATATTCGCATTTAAGTGTCTAGTTAATTGGTCAGACATCAATTTATGATTATTCGAACTAAATTTTGCTAGCTGAAACCCACCCCTTGATAATGCCGTGACTACTTGATCGCGTATGGCTATTGCTTGCTCCAACGTATCTGCTCCCGTTATCAGATCGTCAACATAAAAATCACTTGCTATAATCTCATGAGCTAAAGGGAAATTAGCCCGTTCTAACTCAGCTATCTCACTCAGACATCTTACCGCTAAAAATGTCGCAGGGGCTGTTCCATAAGTAACTGTACATAATCTATAGGTTTTCAGCGATTCACTAGGGTGATTTCGCCATAAAATTCTAAGGTAATCTCTATCGTTAGGGTGTATTAATATTTGTCTATACATTTTTACAATGTCGGCGACAAAAGCCACTTGATGTTTCCTAAATCTAATTAAAATTGAAACTAAGTCCTCTTGTATAGTAGGGCCAACCATTAGTGTATCATTTAACGACAATCCAGTTGTGGATTTTGCCGAGCCATCAAATACTACTCGAAGCTTGGTAGTTAGGCTGGATGATTTCAAGACCGCGTGATGGGGCAAGTAAAATGTCGACTGAGTTTGGCTAAGCTCTTGTGATTCCTGAACTACCTCCATATGACCTAATTTTTGATATTCGTAAATAAAATCTGCATAATCGTTTAATAATTTAGGATTTCGATGCAGTTTGGATTCTAATGCCAGAAATCTACTTTCCGCTTGTTCTTTAGATAAACCTAATTGAAACTGATTTGTCTTAAATGGTAACCTAACTATAAAGCGCCCTTCACTATTACGAGAATATGAACGTTTAAAATGTTCCTCACATTGTATTTCCTGCTTCGTCAAACCTGCAATAGATTCTACAGCTTCTATTTCCCAAAATTTTGCTAATTGATTTTCAAGTTGTGTTGTTGAAAAGTTACAAGAAGAACGTATGTTTTGTGAAGGTATACCTAACTCGCCACCGATAACCCATCCTAATTTTGTTTTTTGTAAATATGGCTGGTTGTTGGGTAATTTTATTTGTCCGATGCATAATAAGTTCCAGAATAGTTCCGCGCCCAGCAACAAGTCAATATCCTTAGGTATGTGGAACTCTGGGTCCGCTAATTTAATTGTTTCTGGTATCAATAGGGTATTAATTGGGAACGAGTGCGTGGGCACCTTACCTCCGATTTTTGGAATTACTAAGCAATCAATATTTGCGCTATAAGTGTTAAACCTAGATTTTAGCGTAATCTTAGTAAGTTTAGAAATTGAAGTGCTCGTTTGCGCTATGCCGGTAACGGGAATGTTAACTGGTATGGTTTTTAACTTGAGACGTTCTAACATAGGTTGAGAGATGAAATTTGATTGCGAACCGACATCAAGCAATGCCCTACAGGAATGAACATTACCGTAAATATCGTAAATATCAACTAGTGCCGTGGATAATAAAATGATTGATTTATTGATGGTAATTTCCCTACAATGATTCACGTAAGTATTTGATATAGTTTCATTTGCTCCCTCAGTTGGACTAGTAATTGTAGCAGATTCGTTTGATGTAGTATTATAATCATGATTACGTTCGCGATGAAGTAAAGAGTTGTGTCGTTTACGGCAGACCTTACAATTATGAATTGATTTGCAATTAGCGATTAGATGGTTTTCTCTTAGGCAATTTAAACATAGACGCAATTTTTTGATTTCTTGTATACGATTATCGGGTGTTAACTTAAGAAATTGTGGGCACTGTTGTATAAAATGAGCTTGCTTGCAAATAACACAAGTAATTGTACCCGAAAAAGTGGCATGCGAGGTTACCGTTCTAACACCTGATCGAAGTGATTGATTTGTTTGAAAGGATTTGACGTTAGGATTATCATGATTTTTACGAGAATCAGTTTGCTTGCCAATAGACTCTAGCATTTTACATCTATGCGTTATGAATTCGATCATTTCCTTTAAGGTAGGAAGGTCATTATTAAATTTTAAGGATTCCCATTCCTTATTTGTTGCAAAATCAAATTTTATAGTAATTAACTCTATAATGATTGCGTCCCAATGTTCAATTGGTAAATTTAGTACCTTAAGCGCTCTTAATTGACTATTTATCGTATCTAATAATTGTCTAAGTGATTGTGCCGAATCCTTTGTAACATTAGGTAAGTTAATTAATGCCCCTATATGGTTTTTGATTATTAATCTTTTGTTTTCAAAGCGATCCCTTAAGAGGTTCCATGCTATAGCGTAATTATCATTTGAAACACCTAACGAAGCAATCACCTCAGCCGCACTACCTGTTAAGCTTGATTTAAGATAGTGGAATTTTTGTATATTGGTTAAATTATCATCCACATTAATTAATGAATTAAACGTGTCGTAATAACAAATCCAGTCAGCGTAATTACCACTAAATGTCGGAAGTTTTATCGTTGGTAACTTCACTGGGATGTTTTTAGATTCGGAAGAACTACTACTAGGCCTGTTACCAAGGGATAAGTCAGAAAGACGAGATTAAGCTATTCCAAATAATGTAAAGTATTCGTTTTCAAATCTACCACGTTCATTTTTTTGTTCATCACCTTTCTCTATAAGTTCAATTTCTGATTGAACATCTTCGAATTCTGCCCACGATTGCTCTAATTTTGAAATACGAACTTTTAATTCAAAAATGTTGTGCGCTTCCGGTTGTAAAATATAGTCAGAAAATCTGGCTAATTTAGAGAAAATTGTTTCGCGTTTGATTATTAAATTGTCTACCATGATTGTTGGCTCTAATTCCGAACTTGTTTGATCACTAATGGCAATTGCGCTTTGATTACGTGTTTTTGGCATTATAATTCGTTGAAATGTACAGTATCATAATAGAGATTATAAAAGGAATACAGAGGAAAGCTCACTCACCAGGTTACTGCAGTCGTTTCCATTGTTTTGCTAATCTTGTCGCTGCTTTTGTTTCTTGGCACATACTTCGCGATTTGTTCGTTGATTTTTGTACTATCCTGCTCGAAGGACCAATGTTTGCTCTGCACCACAGGAACAGTGCAGAATATTGAATTACTCGTTAAGAACAAAATAATTTTATTAACTCAACTTAACCGCTATATAAATACATCTTGATCTTAGCAACGACTGCAATGGAATGCAATAGAAAGTTACAAAATCTGTCCCAAACCCGTGCTTTTGTTTAAGGTAACCGGTTTAATTACCTGACCATGGAATTTCTCCCTTTTCAAGGTGGTTGGTTGGTACTGACTGTTACAAACTAGTGTTTTATACTTAACTTACTTAACAGATTTTATACAAAAAACTTCAAAATTCCTAAATTAAAAATAAATAGTCAAAATACTCTGAAATATGATGCTTCTAGTTTGATCATTGTGCCAGAATAAGTGAACTAACTTCCAAATACGCATTTTTATATCTTTACCCATCGGTTTAGCAATTTAGCATACACATGTGTATTGCATTCTTAATTCAGATACAAATAGTAGTGTCTCTTTTATAAGACGAAAGAAAAAGAGTTCCAAAATGAACCTTGCGGTATTCCCTTCTAATGCTTGTTAACTAATAAGCCCCCGTCACTTTATACGCAGAAAGTTATAAAGTGGGTTATCTTATCAATGGCTAATTGTATAGCAAAGATGACCAAGACAGTACACAACATTTGAAGCATCGCACAATTTTTTTAGGTGAACTATTTAATTATCAACGTTATCTAAAACCAACAACCATCAAAAATACATATTATTCCTATATTTTCTAGTGATGAAATGACTTTACAACTGCAATCATTCATTCTAGACAAACAATTAATTGTTTTCTGTGTGTCAATACAAATTATTCTGTTATTGAGGTACGCATACAGCTTGAAAACAAAGTGATAATATCAATTAAAATGTTATGATTAACAACTTATTAACGCTTCATAAATTGTTTACGACCAGAATTCGTGTGCCAATGCTGTAGAGGTAGAAAAGCCTATCTCTGTCCAACACATTTTAGAAATCATAAATATTCTATTACCTGTTTCCTAACAGATGGTAGCAGGTATAAATGGTTAAATAACAACTCTTATGGTTGACATTTTGTATACGACGTTCTCTTAACTTTAAACCCTATAACTGCATGTTATATTTATTACCAGTCCCATTTTATTTTAGCTACAAACGCCTTAAAATTTTTTCAGGACTAAATATGGAATATGGTTAGAAAGTAAATGGAAACTCATCACAATTCTGCAGAAAGCTAAAGTAGGTATAACTTTTCGGGAAATACTAACAAACCGAATGACAATACCTCAAGTCGTTTTAATCCTATTTGTGTCTTTGAACGTTTTCTGTCAACAGATTCCTTGATTTGTGAAGGAAAAAAGGTTTTTACTTTTTACCTCAAGATCATGTTATGCCAGCTTTAAAGCTTTATTGCAATTTTTCAATCTGCTCTACATTTTTGTATACGATCTTCTACTTTTATATTTCGCGGAGTGATATGTTTCCCTGTGCACTTCTTATTGGATGTCGTATTACAAATCGATGACTCATATTAAAGACGCCTTTATTTTATTACTAGATCGTAACGTCTATAATTCATTCGTTCGACATCCATGCATAATTACATACATATCCGTGTCTAGGACAGTATGGCAAATTTAATTGTGGAACATCAAGTCTGGAGGTTATCAATTTATTTTTTACAGTTGATCATAGCCATTACAATATTACCGAATTTACATCAATCACCATACTCCATGTTTACTTGCATAAATGCGAATGTTTGGTTATTCTGCAATGAAAAGCTTAAATAAACCGTTTCAACATTTCCATAACTCACGTGTCGTTTCAACGGTACAGTGCATGGAACAACGATTACTTAACTGTTTGTTTTATCATTGCACTTAATGTTGACAACAAAAGGTTGCAGGCAACTGGTAGTATGTGGCATCAATGCCTAAAGTCTAAAGACCCTTATTTCCCTAATAAACTGTCCTAAATACATGTACATACATAAATTTAAATTAGTAGTATGTTTATTTTAAAGCTTGTCAAAAACTCGTAAAACTTACGATCAGTAGTTATTGTTAATAACTCGACACGAATAGGAATAAATTAACATGATTGTAAAACTTAAATTTAAGTCGTATGATAATGAAAGCGCGCTAAGTATGTTAATTAGTGCCGCAACGTTGTTACTAATTAAAAAAGTCGCGGATTATCTTTTAGGAATATCTGTGAAAATACTCACAATTTGGGTTTATTTTTTTAGATTCTGGCACGAAATGTACAAAAAAATTAATAATGCAGAGTCGCTGGGAAATGTTTGTGAAAGGAACTTTGCGTATTGTTTCCACTTTCTCCTACCGCTTGCATGCGCCTTTCTTAGTTAGTGATACACTTACAAATTGAAATGTATTGGTAATTCATATATACGAACTATAATGGGTGTATAAGCAATACGAGTATAATATACTCAGTGACATGGAAATTGCAACACCAAGAAGGAGTTGGAATTTTTTGACCAAACTTTGCAGAAACGTTTAGCTACTAAAAGGTAACAATTGATTAAAATTTAAAAGAAAAAGGATGAAATATAAACATATTTTTATTAATAATAATAGTAGTCCCTCCCTATTGGTTACGCACTCCCTTACGCTTCGTAGCATCGCATTTTAGCAGACGGCCGATTTCCTTTTGAGGTATTGTGTCCCAAGCAACTGTGAGTAACCTCTAATTCATTGTGTAGAGCTTGCAGCGTCTGCGGAGGATGCGGTAAGTTCATCAGTCTTCTCTTGATAATGTCCCAAACTTGCTCGATAGGCGATATACTGGGAGATCTGGGTGGCTATGGCAAGAAATTGACCTTATCATGTGGAAATAAGTCCATAGAACGTCTTTCAATGTGGGGAGGGGCATTATCCTGCTGGAAAAGTGGGTCTTCCAACTGCTGAAGAGATGGAAGAATATCGGGTTCTATCACGTCATCCACATATCGCTGGGGGGTCATATTACCTCGAATGAATAACAAACTAGCCCTACTCCCATAAGTTATAGTACTCCATACCATAGTCCCCACAGCTTAGTGCACATGCCTCATAACAGAAAATTCAATATTGCGACGTTCTCCACGTCTTCGGCTGACCTTCATACGGCCATCATATCATGCATACCCAAACAAAATCGGGATTCATCACTGAACACCACCCAATGCTACTCTAGGTTCCAGTGCAGTCGCAACCTACACCACTCCAAACGCTGCTGGCGGTGTTGAGCTGTTAATGGTAACAAAAGATGTGGCCGATAGGATTGCAAGTCGTAAGCTCTGATTCTGCGGTAAACCGTTCGAAGTGTTACAGGACGACCTTCGTTAGCTAACAATTGATCGGCAATTGACCTGGTACTAGAGAATCGGTTTCGTGTTGCCATAAGTCAAAGATGGCGATCCCGCACTTCATTGTTCTTTTTCGCCCCCCACCCTTTCCTCCCCCTCCCTTTTCTCTCTACGACGATCCTGCCCCTTCCCAAATCCATGGCCGATTGCAACGAATCATGGTGGATTGACTTCGGTTAAGGTGACTTGCAATTTTTGTGAACGAGAAACCACCTCCGCCCAAACCAACAATACGACTTTTAATAAAAATACAACGAACGAACTTTATTTAACTACGTTTTTATAGAAATACAACGAACAACTTTTTATTTAACTACGTTTTTAATAAAATACAACGAACCATTTTTATCTTCGCCATTTTTCATTTTTTTTTCTTTCTGTTACTCACTTCACTTAGTTCAAAATACATTGTTGCCACATTTCGTATTTTACAATAGATTTTAGTGTATACTTAACAACGACACCTGTCAACTTCTCTTAATTCGCGGTAATTTCCACTTTGGCGTATCTAGGCATGATCACAGCCTCAAAAGAAACGATTAAAAGCGAAAACAATAAGAACTGAACAAAATCTCGCAAAACGTACACGATATAAAAAAACTAGAAAAAAATGAAAGAACTGTCAAGTAAGCCATTCCCACTTGATCCATATGAATGAAATTTTAATCAATTGTTACCTTTTAGTAGCTAAACGTTTCTGCCAAGTTTGGTCAAAAAATTCCAACTCCTTCTTGGTGTTGCAATTTCCATGTCACTGAGTATACATTCTACGTAAAAAGTATCGAATCTAAAATAAATTAAATAACTGTACTATTTATGAATTTGTTTCGGATACTCATAGCCCATAGTCAAATTTTAACATGTAGTCAGGGTCACTTTACAGGAAAAGCTCTCCTTGTTCATGCAAGAAGCATTTCGTGTAGGTAACAATTGAGTTACAAGTGGTCTCCCTCTTGAATCCAATTCTGCCTATGCCCAGGTCTGAAAATGGACCGGAAGGGAAATATTCAAGATGGCGTCTGGACCCACGTTTTTGGGATCAAGGTTTGAAATGTTAAAAATTAGGCCGAAAGTGCAAAACCGCGCGATTTCTTATATATGGGCCAAAATCGTTTTCTACCTCCTTTCGGAATGCTATGAATTTTAAAATTGTGGTATTTTGGGTTAAGGAACACAACGGAAAGAAGAAATTCACAGATTTCGCTAAAAATGACTGATTGAAATTTGTTTTTATGGAAACCTTCCAACGATGTGCCACCTACATGCCATTTAAAATGTTACATACTGCCGCTAAAGAGCTCAAGGAGGAAAATTGAAGAAATTGTGATGGTATAAGGTGGGCGCCCTTCCCACAATATTTTTACAGGTGGAATCAATCTTTCCATTTAATAGAATTATCTCCTCCAGTGGCGTAGGGGTCGTTCGCCCCGGGCGGCGCTATCATGAAACGAAAGCGTAGATATAATGTCAGGAGTGGAACCTCCCCCTTTCAACTTTCTAGCCCTATGACAACTCCTCTGCTAGTCGAGAAAAGGATGGAAAATTCAGTGGCGGCTGGTGAGCTTTCTAGTTGGAGGGGCGCCGTGTAAAGCTTCGACATCTATAAAATATTTTAACGTGCTAACAATGTTGGTACTTTTTTTTAATGGAATCCATCTTTCTGTTTTTGTCTAAAATGAATTTTTCAACTTGACAATGACATTTTGGGTGGAAAATTGCCCAGAAATGTTTCTTCTTACCAAAACAATTTGATGAACAACGAAAAATTTTTAAGCACGCGGTATATTCGGCATATTTATTAATTATTTCCTGAATAGGTAAATATTTAATTACGCAATTATTTTACATTTGAAAATAATCGCTGAAATATGGACAGTAACCGTAGCAATTATACTTATTTAAATATACGATAGAATTAATCAACTGATAACATCGTTAACGTTGTTTGAAATAATTCCATGGCGTAGTATTTTTCAAAAATATTCAACATCAGTGAAAAGAAAGTATGAATATTCCGTTGTTTTTTATCTTAGTTTGCGTTACTGGAAGACAATAATTGATTAACAAATATGTTTGTCTTTAATACATCTAAGAGAAATAACAATCTTTGTGAAAGCAGATCGCGAAGAAACCATGGAAAGATTACTATAACTTGGTGTAGTTTGCTCAACACGTTACAAAGGATTATGTTTTTCAACCTTCGAATAGATCTCATCAAAGAATAAGGCAACTGGCAAATTCGTCAAGCAACATAGTTCGGTGTTGAATATGATGTGTCGAATATTCTGACAGTGCTCTTGTTCGATAATGTACAAGAAGCATATTAAACATGACAAAAAAAGTTGATGAATATTTAAATTAAAATTAAAACGTTAAAAACAACGTCTACACAGTTAAGTACCTTATCTGCTTTTTTCACACACATATTTTAAGGGTAAAAAGTATGAAAGTGTCAACAATTTTTCAACAAATACAATCCCAAATAAATTAAGCAAACAGTTAAACTGTTTGAAATGTAATATAACTCGCATCGAATTATACGAGCGAGTACAATCCACACAGATAAGCATCGACGTTTGTAAAATTAAGCTACCGTTGATCAACTGGCGTGATAAAAACTTTACATATACCTGCGGGAGTGGCTCAAGTTAGTGTTATTGCCGCAGCAACATGTTCTTGTTACAGGTAGAAAATTAGAAAGATTTTCTTAAAACTGCGTTCTTTTCTCATTGTTACATAATTGTTATTCCACGGCAAGCATTTGACCAGCACCCTCTGTTCTTAAAAAGGAAACTTTTCAATACATTGCCATATAATTTGCATTTGAACGGAACACTGAGGGTGCTACCCTTCCTAATACCACGCCTCGCGTCTAGATTCTCATACTTTCCTTGTTACAAAATATAACTTGTTTGCAGGGAAATTTAACTTGGAGCACCTTTTTTTGTTAATTTCTAACGAGAAGAATAAATCGGGTGAAATGTTCCCTTTTATTGAACTTGGTTTATATGTGTATGTATGCAGTACATCCGTTCATTTTTCGATATTAATGTTACAAGAGTCGTCGCTTAGGGATGTCAATTCGAGCGTACCTCTTTTATTGATGGTAATGACATACTATTGTAAAATTGTGTAATATTCATTGCAACCGATACGAGTATAGGTACAGTATTTATTCCACGTTGGAGAACAAATTAACTTTTCCATTTATAAATTTTATATTTCGAAATATGCCGGCTTATTATTTCCTACGACTAAAAAAGCTGACAGCAGTGCCGTACAGTACAAGAACCTAGTAAGGTGTGAAAACTAATTTATAAGTCTCAGACCTCCAGACACCTTGTTACTAATTTACAATATTGGTTATTTATTTTGGTTTGATATTTGGGAACACTGACAGTTGCTTACGAGGCTGTTGCTTTTTTGGCGTAATACGAAAAGCTAATTCCTAATGCTACTCCTTTCCAGATTCGCACTCTTATTAGTTGTGAAACAAAATATAATTTAGATAAAAGTTTCAGAATCTTTTATTGAAAGGTGATGAAGCCTACAGTTTAAAAATGCAAAATAATTTCATGCAAATCTACACCACGATCACGTTTACAGGCATCGATCCTTTTGACAAAATTTACGTTCACATTTTGGCACAGTTGTCTTAATGTCACGAATTACGCGTTGGATGTTATATTAAGGCAGCGTTTCTCAACCTTTTTTTATTTGTGACCCAATCCACCCCCCTATTATGTAATATTTTTCGTAAATTATTGTACTCGTATAATTTGTGCAGTACTACTAGAGGAATGCGTATGCAAAAGCTGAGGGAAATTGGTCCGTCGCATGCAAAATCTTTTACCTGAATCTGTAAGTGTGCAAAACCTGCAACGGCCTTTAGAAGTGAAAATTTTATTCTTTTTGCTCGATCTAACACAGTTAACAGTATAAAATAATTCCTTTCGAAACAAAGGAATATATTCGTCAATCGAGATAAATTTGGCGTCCCCCAACCTATACGTATAAACGCGCCCCGGTTTCGTGGAAATTCTAAGAAATCTGGATAGCCGCTCACAAATTCTGCTCAAAAATTTCATCGTCTAGGACTCTGGGTTAAAGCCTTAAGGCTTTTCCCCAAATCCAATCCCATTCGACAAGCTTTAGGTCTGACCGCTACTAGATTCTGCAACCTAGCGTGACGAAATTTTCCATTAAAATTAAGAGAAAAATTAATTAATATTTCTGTTAGGAAAATAAACATACGGGAAAGCTTGAGCTTCCGAATTATGATTAGAGCTCAAAATTGTCTCTGTGTGAACTAGTTCAAAACTATAATAAACGGACTTTGATCAAAAAGACTTTCGCCTAGAATGCGCCCTTCCCTCAATAACTTGCAAGAACGGTTCAAATTAGACAAATTTCAACCCACATACTCATCTAATGCCGGTCAACAGTGAAGTATATAATTATTAGTTTCCAACTACTAAGAGAGGAACCCTTAAAGGTTAGTTGGGGGTAGATGTATTATTGATTTCGTGTAGTTTAGAATACATTCCTCAGGCTCAGATACACCGCGCTGTTATATATAGATAATAACACTGTGGGCATTGTTCCTGAACGAATCAGCGTCTTTATGTTACGCAAGTTAAAAATACTCTTATTTATTTTACAAGTTGTTATTGTATGTTGCGTTGACATACTTCTAATGCATTTTTCATTATTCATAGGGCAAGCGACAAAGACAACTTCATAAGTACTTAATAGGTTTTGGAATATTGTATGATGTGGTATGTAATAAATTGTAGTTGGTGTTTTATTAAATGCAAGGACATCGATGGACCCCTAACCTATGTTTCATCACAAACGGCAAGTGGTGCAGGTTCAAGTATGTAATCAATTCCTATAGTACAGAAGAGCTGGGATTCAACCTACTTTTTAAATTCAAATACAATAATAATAATAAGATACAAAGTTAAACGTTTAAGATAAAATCGCCCCTCTAATTTAGCAAAATAGGCAAATCTCAGGTGTCGATCGAAAAACCACCTGTCTCAGGCCGATCGGGAAACAAATTTTTGTATTAAATTAGGCGCTTGAGAGTCCAGCACAGTGAGAAAAGTTATGTTAGTGCGATTATATAACAAAACACAGACGAAAAACTGACTGAAAAACGAGCGAGGACAATAATAGTTTCGCCCCTAAAATTGATCGAAAACGACTTGTCACAGATCGATTGGAAAACAAATCTGAGGCAAATCGTTTGTCGAATTGACGTATTTTAATAAATGAAGGAGGCGACTTTTTAATCACATCTCAAAAGTTGTAACAAGGTTGAGCTTCCAGAGCTTCCGTATACCTATGTTCCACACCACACAAGTTCTTTTAATTGCAGTAACTTTAAAATGTAAAAGTTAAACA